AACTCACTGTTTCCCGTGGCGACAGGCATTAGCGTTTTGTTAGATCCCAACTGATAATAAACACTCTGTTACCTACTATTGTCCGAAATAAAATGTGTCTACCGCTGAAACCGACATGAATTTATTACTGAAACTTTCAACACAGCTCAACAACGCTTTGAGCTTCAGAATTACTGACAGATCTTTCTTTGAGTACGCAAGTATTTTTGGTGAACGTGTAACTAGTTGACTTCCGAATAACCGAATAAGAACAAAATAAAAAATAAACCTTTGCTTTTGAGTACACGTGCCATGTTTTGAAGGCACACAACCTGATCACGTGCAAGTTAGCACTGCTGTTGCTCGAGGGAGTCAGTGAGTTTTGCTTGCCCTAGAGAGTTATACAGTTCCAGGCGGCTCATGTAGTATCTTTCCATCCGATAGAAAACTTCATTTCAGTTGGGAAGTTTAACGAAGCATTTTAATTCCTGCCCACACTACGCCGGAGAAATTCGAGAACGTGGCTTTATTTCTACGGTTAGGCCTAACCTCCACACTAATATAATCTGGAGAAATTGTCCACCGAAAACGGAACTTCTAACCAGAGGAACTTGATAACACCGACTTTGAGGTAGGTAGGTAATAAAGTATTGTCTGATTTGGCTACTGTCACCCACTAAAAATAATTCTCTTTAGTTCCGACTTCCATCTACAAAACGATAGATGCACGACTAAAAACACGAAACTACAATTTTAATTTATCACAGATATCGGGAATAATGGAGATATTGAAACAACTTTTATCTGCGATGGTGAAATTATTCCTCAGTGGCTCGTGATTCAGCTGATCCAGACGATTCCTCAATAGTTGGTAATTCAGCTGATCCAGGAGGCTCCTCAGTAGAAGGTGATTCAGCTGATCTAGAAGGTTCTTCAGTGGTAGGTGATTCATCTGATCCAGAAGGCTGTTCAGTGGCAGGTGCACGTGATTCACCTGATCCAGAAGATTCTTCAGTGGTAGGTGATTCAGATGACTCAGACGGTTTGTCCGTTACAGGCGATCCATAAGGTTCACCAGTGGCTGGTGACTCCGTGGTTTCATCACTCCTTAGTGCTGCTTCTGTAATTACCAGAACAAAGAGCGAAGTAGAAAACAACAGTGATTAAGATTGATTCCAGTCAACTCTCTAAGCAGCGATAATTCTAAAGATAAATATTCCACGACACGTCTTTTCAGTCGATGTCTTAATACAATTAGAAAAGGTCATATTACCTAACTCATCGAGCACACTCTCAATATCGTTCCACTCGTCCTCTGTCTGGTACAATGCCCGGTTTGCTTGGTCTCTGATGTTTCTGTCATCAAAAAGTTGTTCACGGTCTGACGTATAGAGTTTATCTAGCGGGGAAAATGGTAAAATGAAAAGAACGAACAAAAGAAAGACGCGAAATAAACAAGTCGTAACTTTAAGATTACCTAATTCATCTAGTAGCCTATAATTGTCGTCCCATTTGTTATCCGTCTGGTACAATGCGCGGTTTGTTTGGTCTGTAATGCTGCTATCGTCATGACCTTGCTCTCCGTCTGACTTATAATGTTTGTCTGGTGGATCAAAAGCAACAACAAATTAAGGTGGCTTAAAACACTTTCCAGCACTTAGATTTTGATGGGTCGCTATAACCACTCTTTATCACTTGATGCTACAATCATGGTATCAAAAAAACTGCCCAATCATTGTTGAACACGTTTTTATCATTTTTGTGATACAATAGGTTACCATAGCAACAGTATGACCTGCTAAAAACACCCTCAATTACAGCTTTAGATGCTTAAAATTCAAAAACGGCGCGGTGAATTTTTTCTATTTTATCACATTTTAATAAGCATGATAAGACGCAACTTTTGGCAAAGTTTAAAAAAAAAATTGGGAACTAATTTTGAGAAATTGTCTTGGTCCTTCTAATAGACTGAAACCGCAGAGTCGTGGATAGAAATTTTCGAGGAAATCGTCTGCTTCAAGTACAGTAGTGATCTTTTTAACTGTCACACACACTCGTTTTCACATTGATTTCCCTTCTAATTTGCCAGTAAATTTTCAGTGTTACCATAAAAAAAGCTAATAGACCATATTTTCTCCTGGTCTACAGTCTATAAAGCGTAGAAATGGCGTCGTAAGATGTCCAAAACTTTGCAGTTAAACGTCTTGCCCGCGGCTCACGGTTCCACTTTAGTTTGACCATGGTCTATAATTAACAGTTAAGACCATATTGTAGGTGACCGATTTGTAATTTAAATGAGGATAACGAGACCATTTTTAGACAAAGTTAGCTCAATTTCTTCTACCATTAGTCACGAGGTCCTCTCGATGAAAGCGGTTTACTCTTGTGTCGAAAGTATACACGTTTGCTGATTGATTGGCCAGAGTGATTAGTACGGTTTTGATTTTGAGGCCTGCTCTTTACCTCTCTCCTTGTATCTTTTGTAATCAACATCATAGCCATATTCTGGATTCCAATGAACTCTTGGCCTGGTAGTTGTTAAAGTAACTACAGCGGAGAAAGCGAGCTGAAATGTGAAGGAGCGCTACGTTAGACAGCCAGCCAGCCTGCCATACAGCTGGTCAATAGGTCAGTCAGTCAGTCAGTCAGTCAGTCAGTCAGTCAGTCAGTTAGTCAGTCAGTCAGTCGGTCGTTCCGTCGGTCCGTGGGTCCGTCGATCAGCCAATGACAGAGTCAGTCAGTTAGTCAGTCAGTCAGTCAGTCAGTCAGTTAGTCAGTCAGCCAGTCAGTCAGCCAGCCACTCCGACAGTCGGTCAGTCGGTCAGTGAGAACGCAGTAAGGAATGTCAATGTACTGAAACAAGAGAGGTGAAGTTTCAGGGAGTCGTTCTTGCATATAGCCCTTATTTTCAAGGTAATCTTCTAGGTTTATATTAGATCGCTCCCGGTTTTGGAATTCCCGAAGGATATAGAATTAAATAGACAATCCTGTCACACGAATTTTCTCGCGTGGACAACGTAATCAGCTTGAAATGCATTTTCATCCTTCATGAAAACATCCACGTAACGCGCGTGGTAACATTATCTGCGGGGAACTGGTTACCTGGCCTACATGAGATGGCTCAACTGTCTCGGCCCTTAATTCTCTCTCTTACCCTTCATTGCCACTTGAATGAAATTCTCGTTGCTAGATATAGTTCCTTTTGATAAGAATTGACTTTAAACCACTACTAGCCGTCCATGAATCTCATCTTCCAAATTGGCAGCCTTGGAACTAACTTGAAAGGGATAACCTTGAAAATACCCTTCATGCTCTCCCGGTTGAAACTCATGGCTTCTAGATATACCTCGTTAAAAGAGGTGTAAAAAGACTTGAATTGACACAACTCACAGCGGAAAACGAGTTTCACCTGATATAGCTGGCTAATTTTTTCACCACCGGCGTCACTTACCAATCGTAATACTGTCCTCAGCTCCATTCCACGTGTCCGTCTGATGCTCTCTGAGCTGTTCCTGATTTCGTCTGAAACTGACGGAAATTTTTTCCTCTGAAAGTTTGTTTTATCTTAAAGTATTATTCCCGGCGGGAAAAGGGCCATCTTTACAACATCTAGACAACATAAAAACTTAAATGTAGATGAAACATCTCAAAAACGCATTTCTGGAGTAGCGCTTCGGCTTCACTTTATATTAGAACGAAACGTAAATTAAATTAATAATGCACAAATTATCTCATAGCTGATTATTCATGTTTTCAGTTGCAAATGTTGACAAACCATGTTATTATTTTCATGTAATTTACCGATTTAAAAAACCAAAACAAAACCAAATGACTGAGGCAAGTGCCTCGATTTGCCTGTTGCTATCGAAGGCCCTGTTAGGGAATCCAGAGTGAGCAGCAAGTGGGCGAGAAATTGAAAAAACAAGTGACGTCAGCCTCAATAGCGTACGCTTTCCTGAACTATAACCATGTTATAAATAAATCTTAATTACCAACACCTGAACGTTTGATCTGATTCTTACTTCTACTACAATAATCATGGAATCAGTCCTTGACAGATGAAATATAATGGCATTTCAATACTGAGATTGACAGCTCTAACGAAACAATGTTTTTCAGATCTTTCAATATGCTTACCCATAAATAATTGGAAAAATCAAACTTGCAAATGAAAAAGCCATAACGCATCATTAACCTTTTCCCAAGGTTAATTTAAAAAAATAACACACAAACAAAATATTCCTTAACAGCTATCAGTATATGAACGGTTACACAAATGGGTTTTCTGCACAGTATTAAGGTTACAAACGGTTCAGTATTCACTGCTTAGTATCTACGCTTCGAATTCGATCTGTAAACCGTCTCATCTTTAATTTTGAGGTTTCGCTTGTACTAAACTGATCAAAGTATTCATCGTAGCGTGACGTAGCCGTCTAAAATCCATAACGTTTGTCTTCCGTAGTCACAGAGTTGATTAAGTATTTCTTGAAAACAGTCTGTGCGCATTTCGGAATACGTTGTGACTGATATCAAATGCTTCTTCCACAAACTTCACTGATTCTTCACCGTGTGAAACAAAGCGGTTACTGTAGGTATAAATCATATGCCTTCTTGATCCATCTCCTAGCTTCGTATGCTAAAGAGTGAATTTATTATGCAAAACTTGTGCGTATGCAGACATTGAGTTATTCAAGTCACAAAGTTTGAAAAACTTTCTCTCGGTTTTCTAAAATAAGTTTAAGTTGAGAACTTCCCTTCTCTTCAGGGTCGCTTTCGAATGCTAAATGAACATAAAAACTTGGGGAAAAGGAATTCCCTGCGATTATTGGCGATTCACAAATATAGTGCCATGATCATGGACCATAACGTGGTGATTTAAAAGAACCAGCCAAGCCTTCGTCATGCATGCCCAGGTTAGCTTAACTCTTCTAAACTTTACCCCAATAACAGCATGGAAATAGATTAATGATTAACAGAGAGAGTGTATTCTCCCATGTCTTACCTGATCGCGTTCAAGTATGTCAAGACATATGTTCAAGACTTCCTCGGCGTGATGGATGTTGATCAAGGAACCATCTGTATGCTTGAGGAAAGTAAAAAGCTCGCAGATTTATTTAATATCCTTTATTGATTTAAAGAGGATGTTATTGAGAGACTCGCTGTCAAGATAGGAAACAACGCAATATGATTGGCTAAGAGCATTGTGATTAACACGTGATAAATGATCTTCGTGCGAGAATGTCAAAGATTGTTCCATGGGTTGACAGTCAACCAAAAACCCGCACAATCTGACTGTGTTGTTTAGCAGGGAGCAGCGAGTCCCCTTAGGCAAGAACTTAATGATCCGCATCGGGTCTTATAAAACTGCTCTGTAGTTTAGCAATATATCGATAGATTATATAGTCCATAGTCTCTAAGACTGACGAATGTCAACGATATACAAGACCGTACAAAGGAAGATAGTGAAAAAGCAAGGAAGAGTGAAGAACGATGCCTATGTCTTGGTAAATATTAAACATAACGTACTGCTTTTGTGTCCAAGGCAACTCTCTGTGACGAATGAGATCATTAAATATTCCGCAATACACCATTGAACATGATAATTTTTTTAGGCATATTCACATAGCTCGTAGACCGGTACCGCTGTACATTTGGATGTTGTTCAGATAAATCTAGATCTTTGACTTAACTTAACGGTATATCATGATCAATTGGTGTTTCTTTGATTGGTGATACAGTAATCATTACGGATTGACAGAAAATTCGAAACTGTTCAACCGATTTTAAATTTGTCAGCAAGTCAAATTAAAGCTTGTGTTAAATATTAGTTCAGATATTATTTGTGAAATGTACTCATTGAAGATTTCCAGCTCAGCGGTAAAGTTTTCTCGTACACTTTTGTAGACTATTACAGTGACACGGGACATGTATAAGGCTGATTATCTTGAAAATCATATTCAGGCTTAAGTTTCCAGAGGAGGCGGGCTGTTATGAAATAGTTAATATTCTGCTGCTGAATATAGTAATGTGGGATTTGCACTTCCACCTTTTTACCACACGCAACTTAAGTATTGGCAAGAATGCAACGCTGAAAAATTTTCGGAGAACTACTGTATTCAAAACAAAATCATCTGCGATAATAGTCGCATCCTGGTCGGAGACCGGCCAGTCCTTTTCAAACCCTTATTTGAAGCTCAGATTATCCGTATCAAACAATTTTTAAAAGACGATAACACCTTCCTCTCACTGGACGAGCTCACTCGCAAAGTGAACATCAATATTCCGTTTACACTTAACTATGGCCTTATCGCTGCCATCCCTACAGAATGGAAGAAAATATTAAATCAAAACAAGCTTGCGCCATGCAAAACGCCCCTCTTGAAGACCTTCCGTCGATCCGTGTAGCCTACGCTACACTTCTAAGTAACAACGTAAGTCCACCGACATCAGAGACTAGAATTCTAAATTACGGTCTCTCTAAAAAAAAGCATCCACAAAGTGTACTCGTTGCCTTTCTTAATAACCAAAGATTCGAAATTAACTGCCCTCCAGTTTAAAATAATACACCACATTTTACCTACCAAGTCCAGCCTTTTTCGAGCTGGCATTACTGAAAGAGACATTTGCTCCTTATGCGCCACTGAAAAACAAAGAATAAGCCACCTACTGTACCACTGTACAGTATCTATTGGCTTTCTGGGATAGATTCACCAACTGGTGGTACCAGAAATTTAAACAAGTGGTCATTTTGACTGAGTCTCACGTCCTATACGGTTGGCATAATAACATCAAAAATAAAAAAACTTCACTTAATAATGTCACTCTAATTCTTATCGCAAAATTCCATATCTTCTCGACAAGTTCATGTGATGGCAACTTATGGTTTGAAGGCTTTCTTCTTCGCCTCCAAAACAAACTTGATATTTTAAAGCAAAGTTACACCATCCAAAGAAAGCTGCATAAATTCTTGGACATCTGGGGAAAATTACTATAAATTTCACTCCGCTTCGTCCTTTTCTTTTCACTCTCTCTTATTGTAACTCTTTTCTTTAAGCCAGGCGTAGTCTTGTTCGTGGCTTTTAACTTTATTGCATGATAAAACACAGTGATAATTGCTACCATAATATAGTGTAAGTAAAGTGTATAAGAGTTGCAGGGTTATATCTGTAGTACATCTCTTTGTCAGTGACGTAAATAGTGTAGTACTGTTGTGTAAGCATTGTAAGTAGTTTAAGCTCTGTAAACTGTGTGAGAAGTAAATAAATTTCATAAAAAAAAAAAAAAGAAATGTGGGATTTGCATACTAGTGAGTCAAACATGGGAAATTGTTATACCTCCCAACTCAAATACGTTTTCCGACTGGAGGAGAACGTGTCACGTGTCATGGGTCAAAACTTAATACAGCTGTAACTCCCCTGGGCGAACAAAAGTCTTTAACTCCTCAGGGAAACAACAACTTGGATTTTCGACTGCCACGTGATGAGGTCGTGCACCTTGAAACCGCGGCAAATTTACTGGTCAGCCGGCGTCAAGCAAAGATATTTTTTTCGCAGTTTTTTCTATTTTTGGGTTGGGAGGTATAACAAAACACTTAATGACTGACCCCACGGGAAACAGTTAGTCTTGTTTCCCCCCGACCCCTCAACATTGAGGGTCTCGCGAAATTTTCACTGTTTCCCTTGGGGCCAGACATTAGTGTTTATTACTGACCGGTGATAGAAGTTGCTGCCTGTTTTTGAAGATGGGACGAGGAGTGTATATACTGGTATGTCATTTGTACTCGAGATGAGGGAGGTTATAAAAAAAGTGGGTCATGATCGAATGACTGTGTAAAAGGACTGAATTTGCAACACTGCGCAGAAATTTTGTTGCACATGCTACTGCCGTTCCTTATTTAGGAAAATTGCAACTAGAATTACAACAACAACAACATAATGTTTGTAAAGAACAGTTCAAAAGCACTCTGCAAAGTTGCAAAGAGCACATTGAATCAAATACGACGTTTTTTTTAAAATAAGTATTATTTACAAGTGGCAAAGTCGAGTTAAATAAAATTATAGACTAAAATAATTAACTACAAGGCAAAATGATTATAAAGCCATCGTTTAATGAAGGAGCTGGTACACCATCCGGTTACCTAGTTCTAAAAATAATTATCATTTACAAGCTGCAGGTGCCTGGACTGAGTTTACTAAAATATACAGCTTGCAAAATGAAACTGTTATTCCAAGTTTCTTGCAGTCTTCATTGATGTTTGCTAGGCAACTGAAGAGAACCTACATTGGATGTTAAATTAAAATGAATTAAATCTTTCTTGATCCTCTACGTTCGACTTAATTCGCGACAATTGCTGAGCAGAAATATATCACCATGCATGCATCATATTTTAAAATTTTATTATTTTTTGACAAGTGGCTTAGATTATCCAATTGCAGACATGTTCAGTTTAACCAATTTCAGTTGATTGTTTTCTTTTTTTCGATCCTTGCACTGGAGTGCTCAAGACCTTGTTAAAAAATTCTTGAGACCTTGTCGATAATTTTGACTGAAAATAAAGCAGATGGAAGGATTTATAGCACAATTTGAGTGAGCAATAACTGCGGCAACAGAAGTGAAGTAGACGAAACCACACTGCTGTGTGCCACCAAATACAAAGAGCACAGTGGAAGCGAAACTGTAGGACAACCAGCATAATGCAAACCCTAACACAATAGCAATGGCTATCTTGAGCACATTTCTTTCCCTTGTCAGTCGTTGTTGTATAGCAATGGCCGTTTGCTCGCCTGGAATCACCTGTGTTTTGAGTTTTAAGTAGATGAGGCGATAGAGTATGGCTATCACTAGTAACGGGATGTAAAAGAATACAAAAGTCATTGGTAAAATGTAATTTGCAAACGACGAGGACTCTCCAAAAGCTTCTTTCCACCGTAGCTCACAAACAAACCGACCCTGATTCTTCACAAGCTTGTAGGCAAAAAGATATGCGGTGGAGGTAGCTATCCCAACCATCCACGTGGCGAGAATGAAGAACGGGCACCGCTTTGAACTGATCAGAGGAGAACGGAGAGGAAAAACCACAGCTTGAAATCGATCCACTGCGATAAGGACCAGGCTCTGAATTGACACAGCACCGGAGACATCGGTTAAGAATGTAAGCAGCTTACACAAGGCCTCGCCAAGACGACCACTGACTAACCAGGAGTCGACGTGCAAACGCGTTACAATTCGCGGGAACAGGCAAATCGGAAACAACAAATCGGACATGGCCATGTTTGCGATTAAAACGTTGATGGGCTTTCTCATGGTGTTCGTCTTGAAGACAACCATTGCGATGAAAGTGTTTCCGGCCAACGAAACAACAAAGATTAAGCAGTAAACAAAGGTTACTCCGATCTTTGTTGCTGCAGCGTCATATATTTGTTTGCAGCTCCATGGCTGTGTTCCATTCATGGTCTTGTTCACGGCGTCTAGCGACATTTCAGAGAATGAGATATTTTACTCACAGCTTATTTTTCATGAAGTAAAACGGAAAATTTCCGGCGCTCTATTTACATTATGTCAAGAGGAGTTTGTTTACCTTAACGTCATTGATGTCACTTCAAACAATAACAACTTAAGTCGTTACCGGCTTAATTGGCCTATGACATGTCCAATAGCGAAGCACGCGAGTGACGTCATAACTCAGACAAACTCAGACAAACAAAACGGAATGACAAGATTTGACGCTTTTTCAAGCGCGTAAGCAAGTGCTCCTAGCACAATTTTTAAAACGAAAATTTGGTGTTCATTTTCCTCTATTTCTCTCAGAACACGCTTATGTTGTCTGACTCTTGCGGGGTTCCGATAATTTACACTCAATTTGTAGACTTCGTTATTAAGACGACTTCTGACGAAAAAAACTGTAATTTATGATGACGTCATGTTGTAGGATTTTTGTAGTGGGGCACTTCCTTTTCGCAAACTTTTCCGGCTTTTCCTTAAAGTTCTTAGCGCTTTTTCAAAAATTAATTATTTTTTTCAAACGCCGTCCTCTGAGATAGAGAACAAAATCAGGACTTAGAAAAGGGAAAACCCACTCTTTTATTAAAATTCTCTTTTACTTTTAACGTAACGCGTCAATTCTACTTTATCTTTCTCGTCATACATTATGTTTGTCTTTCGTTCGTAAATTTGTTTAATTTATGCTTCTGGATGCTATTACGGTTCTCAGACATAAGTATGGAAATTCAGGGATGTCAAACAATAACAGATGAAACCTAACCGTTGTTTGAGCCCAATCCGCCTCTGAAGTTACAGATACCCATCACCTGTCTCAGAAAACCTGCTACGACATGCTAATTCTTTTCACAGCACTTTTGCAAATTCGATTACCTGAGTTCCCGGGCTTTTTTTTTAACTTCTCTACGACTGGGAGAATGAGGGTGGGTTGAGGAATCTTAAAATCTTTTAATCTATAGACACTCTAATGTGTCTTAGAAAATGACAGTACGTTTTCGATCACTAAGGCCTCTACAGAACCAAATGCTTTCTTTTAGAAATTGCACTCTGCATTCGCGTTTTCCTTAATGTTCTGTATACCAATGAAACATCTGCAGGTGCAACTATAAGTACCAAATATTGGCAGACATTCGTTTTAATTATCACTCAGCGGTAGTTTAACCCGAAAGTTTGTCACGGTCTGCATAGGAGATTATGCTTCACAAAGTTTCAACATATCCTATAGTTCATTCATTTCACGTTGTATTTGTGGTATAGAAATTCATTTTTGGTTGTACACTTTGTTTCTGCTAATTAAACTGAATATGGTCCGCAGTAACTCGGCAACGGATTTGTTCCAGAACCTTTTGCGAACCTTGAAGAATGGGTTAATTGTTATTTCAAGATAATTTTTACGCGCAATAAATATTTTAGTTTCCGATACTTTTCAGGTTAACATGCATGTATCACAAGGAAAGGTTGGTGCAAGTTTCTTCCAGCAAATACCAGTTGTGTTTCCTCTGCGCTTAGATGAAAGAAATATCTGAGGGAAAACATCGGGGCACTTCACGTGATAACATCGTGCAAATGATTGACAGAAGTTTCCTGTTAACTAAGGATTCTCATCCAATAATCAACAAAGAATCCACAGCCGCCTGCAAATCGACCTCAACCTGATCAACGGGGACATAAAATGCAGTACGCTCGCGATTACTTAACTGCTTAATACAAATATTTTTCACAAAGCTATCAAACTAATATTTAAGTCCGTTAGGAGTGGAAAATTGGGTACCTACCCGTCAAAAAGTGTTACAGACCGGCCGGATGATTTTACCGGTCGTTTACACGGATAATGTTTTGCCACTGGTCGGAAAAAGTGGCCGTTACAGGCCAAATTTGAAAGGTAGCATTAACACAACAATTTTTGGATGACTGGATCAATAGCTGTTATTACAGTTTTCAGCGGTTTAACATACAAACGAGGCGAAAGGGTCAATTCTGCTTTGTATTGACCCGTTCGCCTCGTTTGTATGCCTGTTTAAGCAAAAGAATATTGGACCGCAGACTCAACCGTAATAACAGCTAAGCAGTGAGCTGTTACCGAGCACGCGTTTATCACGTAAAAAAAATTGGCGATGAACTATGCTAAGCTATCCGTTCTTGTACGTTTTTTTTTGTCGAACGGAACTCGACTGGATCCAAACCCTTTCCCAATCCAAATTATTTGTCCGCTCTAAGAGTGATCAAAGCAAGTTATCCACCCTAAGAGTGTTCAGCTAAAACAAGAGGCTAAAACTATTTGTCCACTTCCATAGTCTCCAGCAAAACTCAGTGTCCACTCCAAGAGTGTCCAGCCGAAAATGTTGGTCCACTGCCAAAGTTTCCAGTATGAGTTGTTCAGTGTCCACTCCAAGAGTGTTCAGCCAAAATTATTTGTCCACCGTCACAGCGTCTGCGTACGTCTTTTTGTCCACTCCCAGAGTGTTGCGTGACAATAATTAGGGAGTTTACGAAACCACGAGGGCGACGCCGAGGACAACGTCGATTAAAAACTGAATTTATATTTTACCTACGAATCTCACGATACTCTTTAGTCATTTACTTTGTTTATCACTGTCAAAAATATCGCAAAACTAAATCCGGAACACAGCGATGAGTTTGAAATAAAAATTTAAAGAATTAGCCGTCGTGGTTCACGTTCTCTGGACGATGCCAAATTTGGTCATTTCATGTTGTTGTCTTGCAGAGGACGGCAAAGAAATGTACCAAGAATTGTAACGCACCTACACAGCCACTGTACTGCTCATTAATTCTTTTGCTCAGTGACGTTCCCGTTGCCGTTGCCGTTGCCGTTTCGTAAACTCCTTATTGTCTACTTCCAGAGTTTGCAGCGACAGTATTCCCTGCCAGAGTGTATAGCCCGTTGGTCGTCTTGTAGAATGTCCAGGTCAAGTCATTTGTCCCCTCTCAGAGTACAGTGTCTGACGACAATGAGGTTGTCCGTCCACCTCTAGCGTTTCCAGCACAGGTAATCAAGTTAATACTCGCTTTTCCAAACTGAGGCATCCTGATCGTGTACAGTATCGGATTTACAAAGGAGTTAGCAAAGAACAAGGCCTCAGAAACACCTCGCGCTCTTAAAAGTGTTTCTTCAGAAAATGTCTGTGACAGATGAGACTCCAGGAATGTGAAAAGTACGTACGGAATCCACACTGACAAGGAGACAAGCGTCACAATGAACAGTGTCATAGTAAGCCTTCGTTCCTTCCTTGCCTGGCCGCGGTGAGAGTGCTGGGGTTGTTCACTGCATCGAACTGTAACAAATATCGCGCAGTAACTAAAGGTTAAAATTAAAAGCGAAACAAAGACGCATGAAGCCACGATGTACCAAATCTGCAACCCGAGTATGTCGTAAAATAAGAACAAAACTACGGCGCTCGTATAAATGAAAGATGCGATCCAGACGCAAGATATCCAAATCTTGTATGTCAGTCCTGTTACAGACCGATGCCTCATTGGACTTCTTGTAGCGTACAGTCTTTCAACTGAAATGGAGACCAAAAACGCAAGCGAACATCCAAAAAACAGCGTGTCAACTCCATATGTGGAAATGAACCACGCATGAGTCATCTCAACATTCCAAAGTCCATAAGTGTTCCCTCGACGAAAAACA